TAGAAGGTTTCGTGAATTCAGATTTATCTCATAAGAATAAATAGACTTGACAAGGGGAAAATTAAATATCAGTTAAAAATAGAGTAGGATGGTTAAAACCAGACAAAACTAAAATCATCCTCCTTCTCTGTCGTTCCGATTGGGAACGGCGATAAAGAACGACACGGACCCTCAAGGGAGTCACAACACGAGAATTCCTTAGTTTATTGCTTCAGGCCTGTCTTATAGACAGATACGTGGAAAGTACAGAAAAGAAACTCTTATTGGTTAACAAAGTGCTACATCACCATCATTGATCAGGGGCACACAACCCCCCTGACTCCCTCCTGCAAGGAGAACAAAAGGACAGACAAACAGCACCTGGCAGTTTTTTTCTGTCTCTGAGGATTGTTTTGAAATCCTCCTTTGAAATTCCCAGGCTAGCTTCTCAGGCAGGACTGAGAGGCCATGGGCCTGCAGTTTCTGCAGCTCCCTGCAGCCTGTTCCAAAGCTAGCATCCATACTTCTCACCCTTCCTCTCAGGCTCAACATCGCTTCTTTACTCATTTTCTCCACTACCTCTTCCCTCTATGCACAGAAGGCCAATGTCAAAATATGGATCAATCTCCAAAATCCTCCACAGCTTCTCTCTGCTTCTCCTTCTTCCTCATGCTGTTCCCCTGTATCAGAGTGAGGAGTGTCACTCCCATGGGATACAATCCTTCATGAACTGCTCAAGCATGGCTTCTTCCTGCAGGCCACAGTTTTTCAAGAATTGGTTGAGGATGGGAGCTTTCCATGCAGTTGTCTTTTAGGAACAGATTGTTCGAGAGTGGGTCCCTCAGGGTCTGAGATTCCTGCCAGGAGCCTGCTCCTGCATGTGCTCTCACAGGCTGCACTTTCCTTCAGAGCAAGTCCACTTGCTCCAGCATAGGGTCATCCATGGGCAGTGAGATGGCCATTTGCTCCACCATGGACCTCAGTGGGCTGCAGGGGCACAGCTGCCTCACCTTGCTCTGCACCATGGGCTGCAGAGGAATCCGTGCTCTGGCTGCCAGAGCACCTCCTCCCCTTCCTGCATCACTGACCTGGGTGTCTGCTGGGCTGTTTCCTTCACACTGGCTCAGCTGTGGCCAGTGGATTTCTTTTGGAGCCAGTTGGAGCTGCTTGTGTCTGGTATGGGGAAACTCCTAGGCTCTTCTAACAAAGCCCATGGATATACAGATTTATTTTTTTTTGCTAACAACATGATAACCTTATCTTACTACAGAGAGAAATCAAACTTAAAATAACAAAAGTAGTTTATGCATCCACAAGCTCTACAGTTCAATATTCAGGTCCACTACAAAACATATTCAATTATTTAATATTTCATAGCCAGCTGTTTTCCATAATCATTAGAGATAATACAAAAGAATAGTTACTATTCCTCAAAATTAATTTATAAGATTGTTTCAAGTTCACAGATTAAAGAGAAAATATATTTCTATAAACATCATGTTTTGGGTATTTATAGCATCAACAAGGTGTTTTTTATTTCGTGTTATAACTTCCTAGATGAACAAGTTAGGTCCATTTAATATTTGTTACCATGATATTAGTCAAATAATACATCTATTAATTTAAATGGCATTTTCCATTTCAAGAAGTACAATCAGTAAAACCGCACAGTAACAATGTCTGATCTCAATTGTTTCATCAATTCTGCTCATCTTGTACAACAGAAGTTAACCTTTTAAAAACTGCACATGGAAATATTTTAAACCAACATACTCCCAGCTAAGAATAACATTAAGGATTCATGCTTTTTGAAATACATAATTAATATTAAATTTTATGTTCAGAACTTCAATCTACATGGTTTACTACTATGAGTGGCAAGAGATTGCACAAATTCTATGTCCTATGGAGGTATGTACACATATTAAAGAGCAAGATAACTCTCAACATAAAATTGTTTAGACAAAGCATGTAAGGATTTTATTTTTGTGTATTAATACCATGTTTTTAATGCTACTAAAACTGTTACTAAACAAAAAATGGTGCCATTATTTGCTTAAACCCTCTACAAGTATGAATCAGCTATATATATCAATTAAAAACACTGAATATTGTTTTAAACTACAATGGATGCTCCAAATAATCTCACAAATACAGGTTTTGGAAAAAAAGTAAGATACTAGGCAAATGTGTTTTGCTTGGGATCCATGCTGTAAAAAATTACCTGTATATCTCATGTCTACTTGCTAAATAAAGCTATAATCATTCAGATCAAGATGCACAAAGACCTTTAAATATTTATTTTTTTTTGCTGACCTAGATATCTAACCATCACCCACATTAGAGCTGTTATTTTTTACTCCTCTAACCCTGCATATAATGCTATTTTATTTGAAGTTGAAATTACTATCCCAGAAATAAAAGGGTTTTGAACCAGAAGTCAAAGTAATTGTTTTCAGGTTTTTTATAGTATTAGGGAAAATCAGAAATAGTCTGAGAATTTAGTAAGGCTCAACAGTGACATTAGGATGTGTCTACAAAGGAGTAGACAGGTTCTATCTAAATTGAGTTAGGCTGGAATCCTTGAAAAATAAACTCTTTTCTTAGCACCTGTTTTGAATTTAATGGCAGCTGCAAGGTTGAAAAGTATGCCAGCTAACCACTACCTTCTCCAGATATGGCTGACCAGGTCTCCAATGCCACGACTGACTTGGAGATAACTCATTGAAAGAGCAATTTTTTTCATTAGATTGTTTCCATACTTTTTCCAGCTGTGAAGGGTCCATTTTCTCATTAAGGCTTTGCCACAAGACTTCAATCCTGTTAATCATTAATTTTACTCATCTTGTCAATGAGTATTTGGTGTCACAGAAGACTGTTTTTGGTGGTATCACTGCAGCCAGAGGCCAGGAGCCCTGGACATGCTTAGGATACTGTGGCAGACTCCAGCAAGGAGATCTGGCTAGAAATGCTGCTAAAGACTACAAGACAGCTCAGCCTTGGGGTGGAGGCACCACAGGGCATGGCTCCCAGCCTAAAATGGAGAGACACAGCACGTGCTCAATTCACAGCTCTGGAGGCAAGCTGCTCCCATCAAGGTCCTGCTGTCTCCTTCCTGAGGGTGCGGCAGGCAGAGGCAATAATCTCGCCTGTAGATGGGATTTTGTTAAACTGAAAGAAGGGGCCAACAAGAACCTTGTGAAATTAAGCAATTTAGTCCTACACCTGGGAAGGAAGTCCCTTTCATTGACATGGTGATGTTTTTATCCGAAGCAGCTGTTGCTTAGAGGCTGGCTAGGCAATCAGTCTGATGGTGGTGTTGATCTCTTCTTCATCACATTTTTTTCCCCCCCTTCTTTTCCCTTCTCCCCCTTTCCAGTTATTAATCTGTCTTTCTCTCAATCCACAAGTTTTTCTCTCAATTTTGCCCCTCCAATTCTGGTCCCCAACCCATTGCTGGCTAGGTGGGAGCTTAACTGCCAGCTGGGGTCAAGCCATCACAAACCCACTGCCCAGAGGAGCATGGATGGTTTTGAGACCTGATTGACACAACCTTGAATAACTCAGTCTGATTTCAGAGCTGATCTTGCTTTGAGCAGGAGATAGGACTGAAGATCTCATGAGGTCCATTCCAGTTGGACTTGTCCTGTGATTCCATGTTCTGCAGTTATTGTAAATCAGGGTAATAATATAAAGGTAAATATAGGGTTGCCTTATTAAAGGAGAGAGCTGATACTAACAGAGAGTGTTGATCACAGATATCTAATAGACTATGCAACTAATTATTTTTAAAAAAAAAAACAAACCAACAATAAACAAGGCAGCACAGACATATAAGCAAAAGAGATTTGTTATATAGTAATATGCTTGAGCATATGAGGATGAGTCTCCTTCTGTCCTTATGTCCTTCTGTCCATATCTCCAACCTCAAGTTACTTGCATTACAAATAAATCAAGAAAATACAGATGTGATATGAATGTGTTATCATAAAATAAATAATAGTAAAGAAAAGTTAAACCCCATTGTTATGTAAGATAGGTTAGAAAGGTAGCCTTATTTGCATGAGCTTCCATTTGCTATTTGTCATGATGGAAACAGAAAAATCTTGTGACCACATTTAACAGCAGACATCAAGTATGAAATCTCTCTCTGAGTCTTTCCCAAGAGAAATTGCTAGTTACTAAACTCTAAATCTAGTTACTTACAATGTCATTATTCAACAGCAAATGCATGTAGATTAGATAAAAATATTTGTTATTTAGGCAAATGAAGAAAATTACTGTTTCCTGCTACACAACTCTTAGCATGGGATATGTACATTTAGTGATTGGTTGGTGGATTTGGAGGCCTTTTTGGTTTCTCTTTTTTGAACTTTCAGAATCTCAGTGAAAGTGGGAGCCTTCTGGAATACTGTTAATTAACAGCACAGAAAACTATAAAATAAAGGCTAAGAGTCTCTGAATAAATTATCAAGTAATTTTTAGCAGTACAATAAATGAGCAGATCCTTGGAGAAAAAAAAAAAAAAAAAAGAATGGGCGCTTCCTTCAGTTCTACTTCTCCTAAGAAGAGATTTGATGTTCAACAAGACATGAAAACCATTTCTCAGGTTTTTTTGCTTTGATTTTCATCAGGACTCAGTAACTCACAAAGCTTCCTTAACCTTTTCTGTTCCTCCTAGTCTTTACTTTTGCTTCCTAGTCTTGTTATACTTGCAATTTCTCCCTGCTCCTTTTAAACATGAACAGGTATTATTTTCTCTTTCTGTACCCAACAAAAATTCTAAGCCACTGAGGCCCAGTTGTTCAGGTCTGGGATGCAGTATGGGCTTCTTTGTATTGTATTATCTTTGTTTTAGAGACAATTTTTGACATTTTGAAATAGTAATTTTGGGTGTGAATGCTCCCTAAATAATCCCAACTAAGTAATATTACTAAATTAAGCAAAAATAAGCCTATTTTTAACCAAAAACCTACTTTGTGCATTTTAATGATCACAGCTCAGTTTAGTTAGTGCTGCTTTATTTTTTATTTAATTGTCTCCAGAGGTTCCTGGATTTCTTTTACCTGCATTTTTAGTTTTCTGGTCTCTTCTTCCAAACTTTGTTTCTCTGCTTCTAGTCGCTCTCTCTTTCCCCATTCAGAGGCACTCTCGCACTGCATTCTTTCCAGCTAGGAAGATTGAGGTTAGGAGGAGGCATAACAAAAAAAAAAAAAAAGAAAGAGGAATATTCTGATTAAAACCCCTGGTTTTCATTGGGTGAGGCTAATAGCTTCACCTCAGAGTAAGGTGGCCACCTTAGAAATCAGCCCAAGGTGTAAGTTTCCCATGTTTCATGAAGTTAAATATATGAATTTGAAAAGAAAATAACCAAGACAGTAATTTTTTCATCAAATGTACCTTCAAAAAATAAAGCACAGATAATTTTTTTAAACAGTAGCTGGTAACAAAATACTATTATTTTCCTGCTATTTATGGAAAGATAGTATTAAAAAAATAATGGAATGTTTTAAATAACACTGAGACTGATTTTGGCTTGACAATGTCAAAGTTCTCTTTTTGTTCCCCAAAAGACAAAAAGTCAGTATGTTTTTCTATTTACAGTTTAGAAAGATAGAAATAAATGGTCATTAAACTGGAGAGATTTTAAAGTATATCTTCAGTACTATATACAGTTATCCTCATAATCAGAGGAAAGATTTTTAAGTTTTCATGCTAATCTTTTTCTTGTGGTTATGATTAATAGTCTTAAGGGAAATATTATCTTTTATGGCTAATGCTGTAATCCTATTTTAGCATAACTTTATGAATTTGTTCATCAAACCCACATATAGGGTGAATTAAATATATCAACAAAAAGACAAATTACTAAGTCATATAGAGTAATTATCAAAGAACTAATTTATTTTCAGAGACAACCACATAGTATTTTTTGTCACAGCTGCATTAAATACTTCTTAGACTTCAGATGAAAAAATGGTAAAGTGGATTTATGTTTATAACACAAACCGGGTACTTATCAGGAGTACCTGGAAATGGAACATTTATCAGAAGATTATTATAGGCAAGGACTTAGTGTTAACAAGTTGTTATTATTAGCTGGTTCTTAACAGGAGATTAAAAAAGACTAAAATAAATTAAAAACTATGAAAATAAAAGGTTCCAGTTTTTTGAGGTGAAAAAAAATAAGAGAATTGTTAATATATTAAAAAAGGCTAAAATTTTAAGAACTTTTTACAGTTTTGAGTTCTGTGAGAACTGAAATTGATTATTTGCTAAAAATGGAGACTGAAAACATTGTGAGACTCTTCTTCACTGAAGAAACAGTATATCTGTGCCAACAAGGCTTTAGAAAGAGCCATAGAAGTGTTCTTTTTCAGTTCTATTGGTTACTTTTATTCTGAAATCGATTTCTGGCAAATAATGAAAAGGTACTTCATATAGAGCAAAGAGAATGAGCTGTTGCAGCATAAAAGAAACATAATTCTGATCCTGTGAATAGTAACCATGTCATTATCTAGCTTAATCAAATTGCAAACTTGTCTGTTCCCACACTGTTTCTGAGTAAATAAAAGCAATTAGAAACCAAATAAAGTTAAAGAGGCTCATTCAGATTTTCAGAGGACAGTAAAAGTGATTGTTCCTCTCTGCTCTGCATTGGTGTGGCCTCACCTCTAGCACAGTCTGCAGTTCTGGGCACAGGTCATCAAACCATTAGAGAGGCTCCAGAGTGACAGACTGCAAGTTGCTAACTCCAACACACAAGTAAATGTTTGATGCTCACGTGTTCCTAATGTGGTCTTTAAAATTTATCCACTGAATTTCTGTACAATAGTTGGAAATTAAGGAATCACATACCCCTATTTAGCAGCAAATAGTTTTTCTTCCCCAGCAAAGTTATGCAAATTATTTGAACACAGTCCACTGGACTAGAATTACAAGCTCCATGTTTTTGCCTAAATAAATATGAAGGCATATTTATTATTACCAGTATCCATGAAAGTTCCAGAACATGAGAAACCTTGTCTTCTTGCAAAGCACCTGCCAAAATATACTGCTGAAATTCTAAGCCTGAAAGTTCACCTTTTCACAGTGTTGACACTAATCAATACAAATTCCTTTTTGTCAGACATCAAATAGAGAGAAATCACAGAACCATCCAAGGTTGAACTTCAGTTAAGAAATTAGGCAGAAGATGACTATCACATGAAGATCTGATGTCAAAGATAAATTTATTTACTGTTGCCTGTAAAGTTCAATTCATTGCACCCAAGACGCAATTATGATAAATTTACATATTTAACAGTCCTGATTTCAGCTGGGATAGGAGTTAATTTTCTTCTAGTAGCTGGTACAGTGCTACGTTCTGAATTTAGTATGAGAATAATGTTGATAACAGAGGGAAATTCCCATTGTTACTGAGCACTGCTTACACTAAGTCAAGGCACTTTCAGCTTCTCGTACTACCCTGTGAGCAAGGAGGCTTGGGCTGAACATGAAGCTGGGAGTGGACAGCTAACCCAAAGCAGCCACAGGGAAATTCCATTCTGTATGATGCTGTTGTGTGGAACTCCAGATTCTGATTTATAAAGAAAAATGAAAGCTTAAGAAAAAATTTGCAATGTGGGAAAAAAAAACTTGAGATCTTTAATTTTCCCTGAAAATGTGAATATTTTCTCTCCACAAAATATCTGTGCAGACTTGCACTGAATTTCACTTTTTAATAGGAAGATCAGAATAATGGTGGAAGCATAGAATGAGGTCAAGGTAGAGTCAATGAAGTGGATAATTGCAAAGGTGAATGGTGGAAATGAAGTACAGAGTACTGACCTTTTGAAACTGGATAATTACATCTTAGAGCTAACCTACACCATTTTATGACTAACATGAAAGGCAGAACCCTGCAAAAAAACAGACACAGAGAAAGGAACTCCACCTTGTACAGTTCATTAGCAGGGAAATCTTAATGCCCTTGTTCAGTTTAAGGCAATAGAACAGTGGTTGAGGTTCCAAAAGTTTTGTTTTTAAACAAGATTTTTCTCCTTCTCCTTAATCCAGAAGATAGAGTAGGATAAAGGACAACAATTAAGGTGTAATGAATGCAAAAATAAATATGATGGAGATGAAATATAGTAGTCAACATGATTTCAGACAGAAAACAGAAGAAATTGCACACACCCTTTACCTTTTTTTATGTTAGTGAAAACATTTGTTAGCCTCCTATAAAACTTGGAAAAGGTAGTAAAGTGTTTTTAGAGAACTATGATATTCAGCTTTTTAAAGAAGTATTTAAAATGGAGTTGGACAGAGCACAAGCATTATGTTAAAAAAAAAAACAAACCTGCAGTTTTGATCTAATCTGATTTGTAAGTGATGTCAGAAATAAAAAACTGTCAATCTAACTAGAAATTGTCCCCATGAAATTTTTCTTCTACAAGACTGGGATTTTCTTTACCAAATGCATGTTCTGTGAAAGATTACCTACATATCTCAAATAAAAGCTGATTTGACTGAGAATAGAAGAGCTTATTTATTTTTAAAATTTCCAATCTGAACCTTACACAACCACAGCAAATCATTAGCTTCTAATGCTATCTGTCTTTATACTCAGAATCTATGGACAAACTGAATGAGGCCTATGGACTTGTGGCCCAGAGAGGCAAGAATTCCTGTTTAAACTACTGACCTCAGGCAGCCTCACTCAAGTACAAATGCAAAACGTCTTCTTCGGTTTGTGCAGATCAAAAATGGAAATTTAAAATCAATATGCGCCTTTTTTGTCCTTAAAATGACTATGCAGGTCTTTATTCATGCTCCAAAGCAAGATAAATGAACACTTATTTTCAGGATTCTTGATAACCTCACTGTGTTGTGCATGGAGGTAATTTCCATTCATCTATGCTACAAATTATTCTACAGAATTTAAGCAAGAGGTATATTAAACTGAAAATTTAATAAGCCACAAGTTGATTATGAATTAAGGACCATGGCACCCTGCTAATACAGAAAACCTATTGAAATAACCATAAATCTTCATAAAGTCGCGAAGAATTTGATTCTTGCAGATTTCTTCCCCACAGTTACTCAGAAAACTCAGCACAAGAAGCAAATTTTCCTTTGCTTAACTCAGACAGGAGTATTGTCTCTCAAAAAATGTCATACCCAACAGTCTTTTCAAAGCCAGAGCCAAGAATTCAACAATTGTGCAGTTTTACCAACCACCTTCCAAATAATTGCACATAGATAAGAAATGCAAGGACAGAGAATCTGCCCTTTCACAGTGGTAACTTGAGAGAAGTCATCAACTTCTAAAGTACGGGATGTGTTTCAGCTGCTAGAAGGAATGGCAAACATGCAGCTCCCTTATATATGGCACCTAGGTGGATTGGATTAAATCAATTGAAACCAAACTCTGCCTGAAGATGATGCAAACATAAAGCAAAAGCATCACATTCCTTCATTGAATTAATTTTGAAACAACACTGCAATTCATAACAGAATTATGCAAATGTACTGGGTCTGAAGTTATTTTATCAGAGGATCGTCTGAAAGTAATGGTATCAAATGCTTAAAGACAGTCTCTCACCACAATGGGGAGAAAAACAATCTGTGTTGTAAGATCAGGAAAAAACTCATGCAGCCAGAAGCAACATCAAAGAGATACACAAGAGAAGAAAATAGTTACATTGATGAACCAGATTCTCTTAAGCCACTTCCAGTTTTAGTTCAGCTGTATCTACAGAACTTGAAAGATGACAATGGTTCCACTCTACTTCTCACCACCCTTTGAGAAAGGTGTAAGAGGAAGACGATTTCACATAGCAAGACAATAATATGCAACTGGATAGAAAACAATTCCAAGAAGCTTTGTTACTTGCAAAGTAAAAGCTATTTTGCTATTTTGTTGGGGTATAGCAGAGTCTGGTTTTTTTGGGTTTTTTAAATTTATTTTTTTTTTGAGATTTCTACTGCTAGAAGTCTGTAAGAACATGAGGAAAACAGCCAAAGCTCCTAAGGTCTTAAAGAAAACTCATCAACTTTCCTGCTTCCAAGATTAGCACTGCTGTACACAGGCATGATATGTGATGCTGGGCAGTTTTGCAATGATTATTTCCAGTATGTCTGACATTTTATAGAATTCTTTTTTGTTTTTAATCTAAAAGGTGCAAAG